CGTAATAAGATAAGGTGAGTAATTCAGCTTTCGTTCAAAGACCAAGAAAATCTGTGAAACATTATTTACAAAGGCTTGTGGATATTCCAAAGTAGACAAGTATTGAAAAGAGAGGGTAAGTCTTTCCCTGTCCTGTCTCAATACTTNGTTCATTCCATCTCGATTGAGATAGACCTTTTGGAGCTCGAAATGAAAAGGAAATATTTTAGACAATACTCGATTTGAAAAACAGTGAACTTGTAGCTCTTTCAATCGACGAAATTAGCTTTGGAGTTCCCATACTTTATTTCCGAACGTGGAGCGAACTATGGCTGGAAAAAGAAAGCTGAACTTGCTGAATTCAAGCGAGGCCTCGCGACGTTGGCACTCTTCTTTGGAATGGTAAATAATTCCTTTAAGTATTGATAAAACTTATAAGAATTACTCAAGAGAAGATTTTGTTCTAAAATCGTGCAATTTCAGAATTCTCAGCTGAAAGCTACGAAATTTCCTAGCCTTGGATTCTAGTAAACAACGATTCAAGCATGCTGAATTGATTATGCGATTGTCATAACTAAAAAAAAATTTGTACGTTCTTCGGTTCTAACCAACAAATTTATCATTTCTTGAAATAAAGCTTTAGTCTTGGTAAGGGCCGGAATTGCTCTCGGCGTCGCCTCGGGCAACTCTCCGCGTGCATCTATATCTCGATAAACGCACGCTGAGAAACTAAGTAATAGAGAACTTTCTTCTTTTTCTTTCCGTGTTTACATAGTCGCATCTGAAAACAAAAGAACGGGGAGGGGTAGGTTGGATGGTTAGGAGGCAGCTAAAGCACGAAAGAAGTGAAGGGGGAAACAAGAGACGCACAAAACACAAACACAGACAAAAGCGTCGTCAGCATGTTTTATTCTCTCACAAAGACTCTGAAATAAGCCAATCAGGATCATTGTTAGAATGATTGAGATAATCTGATTGGTTGCATAAGATTACAGCTGTCATAAATGTCAAACCATCAAAGTTCACACACTGTAATAGTTCACCAGTTGAAATAGTTCTGCAGGTCGAATTTAACGCTTTTTACTGTAGTCTTTTAGTCTAAATTCAGTCGCTGAAAGTGAAACTTTTAACGAAATCCAACCGATTTGTAGTTCATGAAAATACGCAAATTTTTAACGTGACAATTAGAAAACAAATTGCTCAAGGCATTTCAGGCGGTCAGATGTCATTTCTGAGGCTCGCTTCACCGCAATGATCATAAGATCGCCAGAATGAGCTAGTCGTGATGGACCACCGTATGATCGCAGTCGCTCTGACACCACGATTTGTATAAATTATTAACAGTTATACCAGATTGGTTATATTTTTCATATTCCTATCGAAGTAAAAACTGCCTCAGGCTGAAGCGGCCCGGCAAAGATTTCCGAGAAACGTAATCCTAAATATTATGACTTTCATAGCACTTTCTTTTCCTTCACATTGAAACTCCTGGTACTATGTTCTGAAAAATTATTTGATTCCTTTTGGGTATTTTCGAGTTCTAATAGACACGTGAGACTTTCTGATTACTAAGTACCTTTTAGATATTGAGACCGACAAGGAAAATTACTAATTCATTTTTAACTTGCACAATGAAAATGAAAGTGTCTGTTTGTCAGCGAGTTCACGAAAGCCTACCGTGTGTGTAACATTATTCGACTAGATCTTTGCAGTCTTAATCGAGAACCGACTTTTTATTCTGTCATTTAGTTTCTTTAAGTGTCTTTCGCCTATTTGCTAGGTATTGTTGTCACCTTCATTCCATGTTCGCGATAATAAAGCTATAAAAAAAGAGGTCATCCTGCAGGAATGAACAACCGCCATATTACATATTGATACTAGATCAATTCTAAAAGCATGTAAAAAACGCAAATCAGCTCAGTTAGGATTTGGCGAAAAATAAGAGAAAAAAAAAAGGAGAGCAAGCAGCGATTTCGCAGAGGTCCTGCAACACACCATTTCAGAAGAAAGCTAAACAGAAAGCTCCTGTCGGCTCTTGTATGACCATCGGAAGAGCAAACGTTTACAATCGATCGAAAGCCTAATCTAATCGGAAAATTTTTGAGTGACCTCTCTCTACCGGTGAAATCAAATTCAGAGCTACATTTGTCCAAAATTTCTTCTTGGTATCCGCTATTTGTTGAAAATATTTTGAAACGTTGCACATTTTATCAAACGTGAAGAGCATGATGACTTCCTTCAAAAGAGAAGTAACGCTTCTCCACTTACCGTCAATCCTTTCCCTCTGCCTGGTGAATCACACGAATAGGAATTAAAGTATTCGAAGGTCTTCGTCTCTTTGTAATGCGTTTGGACGTCAAGAGAAGCTTCCTGTTAAACTTCTCGCTTTCGTACACTCTTGTGTCCAATGATATAATTTCTAAGTCTCAGTGATAATTCAATCGTGGTAGTGATTGTATTGTGGTACTATGTACAGTTGTTGATTGCCCGTCTTACAAATTCTTCTATTTTGCCTTTGGTTCTGTTCCATAGACAACAAACGTCGTCGATATAACCTTTCCAAAGTAGGGGTTTACCTTTTTCCTACTTTTTCCACGAGAGTAGTGGCAAAACCCACAGCTGTTGTAGTATTATTTGCCGTTTCGTGGCTTTGGGAGAAAAAGTATCGAGTTCCCGGATGATTACGATACCAACGGCGCGAGGCACACTTGTTAAAAAGGGACAGGCTCAGAATGCATTATGGGCAGTCTATAGATACTAATTAGAGTGCCTTTAGGGCGAAGTGGACATCTTCGGATAATAGTAGTAAGAATATCGCGCAAACCATATTGGTTAAAAAGGACCACGCTCGAAATGCCTTGTGGGACTAAGAAATCTTTTTCCTGCCAAGATCCTAAAAAACTTTAGACTACTTAAACAATATTATTTGAGAAATTATAGTCACAAATGTGCTCTCCAAGAATTTTCTGGTCTACCAAGCCTCGCTTTCATGCATTCGAAACCAAGCCGTTTTCACACCGCGGCCATTTATGAATAAGGTCTTTTTGAAATGAAATTTAGTCGATATCTTTTTCTATTTTTGCCATGATTCCATGTTGTTGCAGAGAGAGTCTCCAGCGGGTGTGTATGTCAAGGAGTGCGAAAGAGCATGTCATCGGCAGCCATTTCGACCCAAATGCTTTTAACACTTCCATATTTTATCCACACATTTCTCTTCGAAAAGCCTTCGAAACATTTAAGGCGAAGCTTTGCGCAGGCGTTTTGGAAGGAAAAGTTGTCTATGATTACGGTCACACTCACGGTAACCCACCGGCAACAATGAAATATTACTGCCCGTTCGATTTTGTAGTGGGAACCTTTCCAATGCGACATCACCGGGGCATCACAAATATTGAAACCCGTTATGTGAGAGCGGTGTTTGCTACCTCAAGATGCTTGAATCCTTTATGTCATCGTCTTGTGCCTACAGTGCTAAAAACAATTTTTCCAGATGGAAGAATCTTTTATTGAAAGATCCTCTGAAAGTGAAGCTTATAGAGCTAGATAGAGCTGTTCTGGTAAAATGAAACTGACGAACTATCGATTGTAGCCACGAGGTGGAAAAGCAAATCAGAACGATAGATAATAGATAATAGCTGAATTGAATTGAAGCTGAATTAAGAGACGAACAGAGCTGTAAATTTTTGATGTAGCTGAAATATTTACATTACGTTGTAACGAAATGATTCCCGAGCTATGGGTGTTACCAACTCCAGATTCAGTTGAACTCGACCAAGACGCATCCAAGTATCTCCTTCCTAAACTGACGGATAGCCCACGTTATCTAGCTCAACGTAGTTCAATTAACTCTTTTGAATGCGTTTTACTTACACTGTTTGACAGATGCAACATGGTGTAATCTCTACCTTCAGAGGAAATTAGACATTTCGAGATAAAGAACAGAACTATGTTGAGCAAGTCAAGGAGTCTTTTTAAGCAGGCTGATCCTGTGAGGGAAGGGTTCAGAAAAAGAGAACTTTTCAAAAATGATTACTGGGAATAGTTATACTTAAACTTTAGGGAACAAGAAGTAGGATAATTTCGAACTGAATCAAAGTACCGTAGTGTAACTGATATATGTAGTCTCAACGTATTCCGAAGACAGTTTGCATAATTCGTTTAGGAAAATAGTTCTCAGGGAACTGTCTTCTAACGGAGGGTATGATGGTATCATCTCTTTAAGTGACGTATGCAGACCAATTCTAGGAACATTTTCGAAAATTGTTGGGCGAAACTTATACGGAAAAACTTCCCATTCAACTTAGTGTGATATAGTTACGTCCAAAAAATGACACTCCTAGGCGAGTAAAGGGGGCTCGTTTCAACTCTCTCTCCCTCAGCTGTGTCACTTGTGAAAGATACTGCAATATGAATCCTGCTTTCAGGAATACCCATGCAAGCGAAGAAGAAGGGTGGTGAAGCTTCCTTTCAAGTCTAAAAATGGGTTTCAAAGCCATATTTTGTCTCATTAACCTTTAGCTAACAGTTATCACTGAGCGTAAAATCAGTTAGTTTTTAAGATGATGACTGATCGAGAAAACGATCGCTGATGGGTGGTATTCCAACATTACGTTTCAAATATTTCAAAACGATGTAAGGCTATCGCTGAATCTAGGAAGTATATTACTATCTTCAATTCTCAAGGGCTGAAAATTGAAGTACATTCCATCACAAACTGTAACGGCTCCTTTAGAAGCAAAATGTTAGTCTTTAAGTCTAAAACTCAAAGACTTGTTTTAGGTCACAGTAATAAATGAAAGCCGTACTTATTGTTGTGAGCATCATTTCCGACATTTCATCATTTTTAAAATTCACTATAATATATAATTGTTATCGTGTTATTTGACTTGAATGAATGACAATGCATAAGAGGGCACTGAGCCAGTGTACGTTTTTTGCGGAAAAAGTTAAATGCTGCGTTTTTGATGTAGTGTTTTTGTTTGTGTGTAATTCTTTTGTAGCAAACTGAGCAAGACTTGAGTGGGATGATGTTACACTCAGGAATTGAATGGTACGGTAAGATTTTGCTTTGCCAATATATGGGGCCATTAGATTGGCAAAAAGTGCGGAGTTTTTTCTATTTTTTAAGAATAAGGTAGTCCTTTCATGTCCAAGAAATACATCTGATTGTATTTGCAAAAACATTCCCATTATGTTGAAGGATTGACTTTTAGGTTAATATCCTGACAGACCTGAGCTGTTGGGTGAACAGCCTATGCTTGAAGGGTGGTTGAGGCCTTAAGAGGGGCAGCTAATTATAACACCTGATGCATCGCCCCCTTCAAGCCTAGCTGACTAAAGAAAATGAGGTTGCCTAACGTCAAGGCTAGTGCCCACATGCAACCCAGCGAACAACCTAACTAAGGATGGGTTGCAAATAGCTTACTGTGGAAGGCAAACCGGAAAGGGAAGGTAGGTTTTTGAAACCCCTCGACCAACTGGCATTTTGCTTTGAAGCTGGAACGGGCTGGTCTTATTCATCCAGGTTGCAGGATTGGTAGTCAGGCTCGTGCCCTGTCAAATTTCAGCTATTGGGCTAACACTCCATGGAGATTGAGGAGTGATTGAGTGTTAAAAGCATACCTTTGAGGGAGGGGGCTCGATTGATATTGCAAAGCCTGATGGCCAGGATCTCGATCTGGACTTTCACTTTTGCCATAGAGTGTTAGCCTAGTAGCTAAGGCGTGACAGGTACAAGCCTGACTACCAATTCTGCAATGCAAGCTTTAAAACTCGGTGAATAAGGGAAGCTTCTTGCTGCCTTAGAAAAAATTCAAGTTGACCAAGTCTTTCAAAAACCAACCATTCCCAGCCCTGAGTTTTCCACACAGAATCATTTGGAACCCATCCTTAGATAAAATATTGGCTTTGATACATGCAAGGACTAATCTTGACATTAAGCTTCATGCAACTTCTTCAGACATGCCCATCTTCGTATGAAAATCTGGCCACATGGTTTTTGCAGTGTCAGTTGAGCCCTCTCCCCCAAAAACATTCTTTTCAATACTCATCCATCCTCCAGCCATGGAGTTTCAGCCATGTGGCTGGTGTGTGATAGGGTACAAGCGTGACTACCAATCCTGCGGCGCAGGCGTTGAACCTGGATGAATGAGACAAGCCCCTTCTAGCCTTAAAAAATATATGCTAGTTGACCAAGGGGGTTTTCAAAACCTACCTCCCTACTCCTTAGCTTTCCACGCACAGTCATTTGCACCCCTCCCTTGGATAGGTTGGTGGCTGGACTGCTTGCTTGGATAGGTTGGTGCAGGCTGGCTTGAAGTTGGGCAATTCCCGCCTTCAAGCGAAAACCTAGTCATCAGCTTTGTACAGTCCCTCCTAAGCCTACTGCGTGGACTTTCAACCCCACTTCAACCACAAAGTGCTCACCAACTTCCTGGGCTCTTGCAGGGCATGGGCCTGAGTGTCAATCTTGTACAAAGGGAGCCTGTGCATCTAATCCAAAATATATATGAATGAATTCACTAAAACATACCCCGAAAATAAACAACAACCTCATAGTCAATTTCCAAGCGCACACTTTTCAAAATTGAAACTTTTCCCAACCCTAATACACCCCGACACCGCGGAAATACGTTTTCGTGACATCACAGTAACTGGTCAGTGGTCATCAACCTAAAGCTGCGGAGCGTTTATATTTGTTCGCGAGATCAATGAAGGTATCGGCTCTTGCGTGGGTTTAAGGTGAGAAATATCCCGGATACTTCAAGCTTTTTGTGAGATTTGATCCTCTAAATGTGCTTTTGAAACTGAAACCAAGTTTGAATGAGTACTGGTTCAGTGGAGTCATTTTGTGTGGAATAAAGTGTAGTTTTTAGGGAACTCGGGCTGATGAAGTGTCCATCGTGTTACCTTCCTCGACTTCAGTAGTGTCTAAAGCAGCGAAAGGGTCTCCAGGCAAAGCAGAAGGCTGGTTTTGTATCATACTAAGGAAGAAAGTTTGAACACCGGTTGGATTTAAAGTGTAATTTGTTCGTAACGATAGAGGTGAGTCAGAGCCATTCTCGCGTTTGGAAAGTACTCATAATCACTTAGCTTTGCGCGGACATGTGGCGCTTGATAAGTTTGAAAATTATTTGCATTGGTAAGGATTTTGCTGTTTCTGTCACCTTTCTGAAATTCTGCACATTTTGAAACGGGCTATTCATGGCTACTTGTAAATAGTAGAATAGGAGAAGCTTGTAAGTACATAAGAACGTACAATTATTACCTCCGACTCACTTACAATTTTTCTTTGTATGAAGCCATTTTGTTAACAAGCGATTTAAGATCACTATTACAAGTTTTCAGTACGTTTGCTAGAAACTATAATTACTACCTTTTTTAATTTTTTTTGAATTTGCCCAACAGCTGTACTTGTCGACACGAAGCGTTTGCAATCGTGGAGTGTGGCTAAGTTTTACTTCTTTCGACACTGGAACAACAGTAAACTTTTCAGATAGGTATTGCTTATCAATGAAATCTACCATATTACTGAAACTAGCAAAATTGTTTATTGGTTAACCCCTGTGCAACCACCCCACTCCCTTAAAAAAAAAAATAGGAAAGGGACATCATCTTGTACTGCACTATCCGTTCCCATATTACAAGCTAATGCCAACCTTTTGGTCATTCCTCGTGACTTATGAATTGGGCATTGACAGCTGATCTCATCTTTTCATCTTTTTCCTGAATATTTTTGATAAACAGGGGTGACTTGAAATACTTGTAATCCTTTGCCTTTGGCATTTCTAACTTGGGAGATTTGTTGCTACCATCATCACCATTGTTGTCATCATCATCATCATCATCTTGTACTTCTCCTCCACCATCATCTCTATCAATACCTGACAATAATCCTTTATTCCATGCCTCAGACAGCTTCTGAATATCAGAGATCAGGTTGGGGAGACACATGATGCATCCAAGACTGTTGCCACCCTCATCAGACATGCACAGAGTATGAAAGGTGTGGCTACAGGACAGTCGCTGGATAGATGCGTGAGGTGGATTATGACATGCTTCTGCATCACAATCTACTCAAGGATGTGGTCTGGAGGAAGGCCATCTGTATCCCAAAGGTAACGACTTGGTACTGAATTCCTTCTGAAAACTTGCTAGGTAGTATGGTGCTTTGCCGTATGGCCGTCTAGCTCTGTTTAGTGGCCTTGGCAACATGTATTTGAAAGGATTTCTGCTAAGCCAAAGCAGAAAATAAAATTATTCAGTGGTAGGAGTTTTCTATAGGAAAATCCAGGTATAAAACAATAATATTTATGTAGACATGTATTTTCACAAATTTTAATTACTCTTTTAATTGCTTTGCAAACCATGTCTTCTGCCCTCTCCAGATAACTAGATGCAATACTGTGTCTCTTCTGGGTGTTAGTTTTCCCATCATCCCTTGCAAATCCTAACACTTTTCCAAGAGCCTTTCCACTAGATTGGAGGCCATGCAGCTCTAAGAAGATCGAACTTTCGTCCAGGAATTTGCCATGTCTCTGATTTCTGATTATCAGACCAAATAGGTTTTACACATTTGATCACTTAGAAACACACGTTAATAGTTGAACCGAGATGCATAAATCTAAAGGCAATGCTAGGCAAGGAAGTGAAAGGAAGCACAGTGGAGTTGGAGGAGCTAGGCTTACAACCAAATATTTTGAATCCATATTTTTGCCACCACCACCCCACTACCTTCAAAATTTTGCTTTGTAAGATATGCAGGCATTTTTCATTGAAGTAACTTCCAGCTGTCTTACATTTTATAGTGTCCAGGGGATTTTCTGTCAGGTTAATATGTTTCTTGTTTTACTTTTTTAAAAGATTTAATTGAAAAAGCTGTATTGTTCATAAAATTATTATTTTTGTATCGTGTCTTGTTTTGTAATTTCCTGTAATAATATATTATGCATGTGATTGTAACTCATTTAAAATGCTGTGAATGTTCTTGGTCTGCTGTGGTATTCTACATTAGAATTTGATTTCATATATAAGTACCAGTGAGGCCTATTACTAAAAATACCTGTAATATAATAGCTGCCATATAACAGCTGTTGCCCTTTTCTCCTGCAGGTCTGCTCTTTTTTCCCCATGATATCCAGAGAGAATACTGTCAAGGATGATCTTATACAGTTTTGGTGAATTTGATTCTATGAATTCTTAAAAAACTGGCTGGCTTACAAGTCTCTGCTGATCTGAGCATTTTTCCATTTTTTTGCGTAGAGTTTGTAGGAGTTCTTTGAATGTTGATTCTGTTAGAGATAAATACAATTTAGGTTCAATCAAAATTGTAGTATTATTGCCATTACAGTGTATCTTCTACGTAAAAAAGAACTTCATAAAGGATGAGATTGTTGGTTTACTATTTAACTTCTCCTGAATGCATTTCCAAGTTGATGCCTCAAGCATAGGGTCCCCATCCTGGCCAGCTAACATGTCACCAAACTGTCCTTCAACAATCTTCCAGTAATCAGGATTTTGCAGCTGTGACACAGAAAGGGATGAGCTGTTTGTGGCTTTTTTATCGTAGTAAACATTCTTTTTCTTCAAAACCACATGTAGTATTTTCATTATGGTGTAACATGCTGTAATTCTAAGATCTACATTGTACCATTGATTATTATACCAAATAATGATTACAGTTAAGACTGTACCTCTGAGGTAAATTGTTCACCAGTTTCAAAATCCATCTCTTCTGTTTCTTGACATACCTGTTACAATAGTGTTACAATGAAGGTGAGAATAGAGGTACATGCAAAGAAAATGGCCCATTGAAACAGAAAAATTGTGTATGTGTAACTGTGGCAGTTCACATAATACATTGAGTACAATCATACCTCTTGTTTAACAGTGTCTATCTGACTCTCAGTTATTTTGACATCACACATCTGCAATGGTAGTTATTTTAAGAAACCAGTCATCTCTTGAAATAGTCTTGTTTATCAGAAGTTAACGTAATACATTTGATAATTGTTGTCAACCTTGGTTTCCTTAGCTTTCAAAACGGTTGGAAGTTAATACTGTTGCTGAAAAAAAAATTTCCTCCTGCCAACCCTCCTCTAAAAGCACAGTATCAATTTAAATAGGCATTTCATGATAATACATACCTAGTTTAATTCTCCCCCGAGCAGAGGCCAGTTTTTTAATCTTTTGTGGGCCTCAGCTCTACACAGATTACACCAACGTGTCCCTGGTCTATAAGTAGAAATTTTCTGTCCAACTTGGTCCAGAATTTTGTAAAAGCGTGCTGGAATACGATGGCTGTGCAACTTCCGTGAATGCCCCCAAGTCGACAGACACGAGCAAGTTTTGTCATCCTCTCGGCGAATGCGGTCGAAATGCAGTTGACAGAC